TTAAAGTCCCCAAGGTTGCATAACACCGCTATAGCCAAAAGTCCTACTTAACCAAAACTGACCACTACACAGTGGGATTGGATATCTAAATGATTTGGTGAAATTTCTGAAGTTTCACTGGAGTGCCTGGGATATGCTTCCCCTGAGGTCTGGGATGCTGAATAATTAAAGGATAACCTTCCAATATTTCAATCAGCGCCTGAGGGAGCATGTGTCTGGGGGTGAGGAATATTGGAAGAGCCCAACAGAGAATCCCATGTAACCAAGCCAATGCACGGGATCCCCTTCCACGGGTCTCAGTTGGGACAAAGTGATCCTATTTGAAGACCGGAAGCAGAAACGTGTACTGCAACTTTGAGTAAACTTGCAATGACGTGGCTTCGTTTTATCACCCCAGGAGGGAAACTAAGAATGAGATTTCAGTTCACAATATTAAAACCCTTGCTGAAGCATTTAACAAAGCACCAAAGATGCTCAAAAAGCTTGTCGTTTTTTGGTGGCAGGGAGAGGTTCGTACTGAAACTGATGAAAACCATTTCAGAACCAGAACTAGATCAACTATTTGAAATTTGTCAGCCAAGAGGTTCCCTCGCTTGCATACAACACTCTTGGCATCAGCCAGCTTTCAATGAGTTTTGGAAATTGTGGATTGTTAGAATTCTTAAGGGCAACGAGGTTTCTTTGACCACGAATAATCCACAAGACTACATTCAGTCCTTTTGCCCACATAGCACCACGTGGGACCCCGGTTTTGAAGAAACTAAGTACACTGAGATAGGTTTTCCCTGACTGACAGGCAAACATCCTGTTCCAGACCTAAAATTTGATAATAGTGCCCAAGAGACACTGTACCCCTTTTTCTGTGACACGCAGGATGACCAGAAAGGCTGTAAAGAGCCTTGGAATTCAGTCCCCTGGTGCCATTCACCAAACATTTAAAAACAGGCCTGAAATTCTCTGCCAACAGCCCTTAAGAACAATATTTGACTTAAAATGAAAACTCCGCAAGGAGCCTTGTAGAAAAAATGAGCACTTTTGACTGGGGGGGAGGGGGGGACGGAGATTTTTTTTTCTAAAGCTTCCTCATGGTTTTTTTTTAAAGTCAGCCAACTCACTGACCTCCCTCATTGTGTCCCTTTGGAACAGCGACTTCTAAAATACCTAAAAAAGGCCAATATAATATGTATGTATGTATATATATATATAGTTTTAAAAGATAAAACTAAAATTCTGGAAGCTTCGTTTCACGTTTTACAGACCTCTTCTTTCCGCCCCTACCCCGGCCCGAACCTTGCTGGCTTGGTCACCTTCTTTCAAGGCAGGGAGCAGATTTAAAATTAATCCATGGCTACAAGAGTTTATAATGAACTGGTTATTACTGGGAAGATCACAGACAGAGATACATTATACACCTATAAGGCTATTCTTTTTTTCTTTTTTCGTCCAAAAAAAGGGTGAGGAAACCATATTTTCCAAGAGGAACTGGAGGAAAGTTATAACTAGATTTTGTGACACTTTTCTTTTTTTTTTGGTTTAGGAGAGTTCTTGTGTTTTACCCTCAGACGATCCCCCCCGCTACATTCAAACTTCCTGACGCCGCCTCGGCGTTCGAACTATCTTCAAAGTGCTGTTCTAACTCGTCCTTGGGCACGACGGGCCCCTGCGTCTCTTCGGCCTCCTCGCCCCCCGCGAGGCTGCTGTCGTCGGGATTCGTGGCCGGGACGGGGGCGACCGCCACTTCTCTCACCCGGGGTTTGCGTCCCCTTCGGGAAGGGATTCCGTTGCAGCCATCTTTTTTAAGGTGCCGGTGCAAGTGGTCGGATCGGACAAAAGTCTTGAAACAGCTCTCGCACTGGTAGGGGCGGAGGCCCGTGTGGACACGCATGTGGTTCTTCAGGTCGTAGTTGTGGGCAAAAGCTGCCCCACACTGCTGGCACAGGTAGGGCTTCTCACCAGTATGTTTCCTCATGTGGACCTTCAGCTTGTCTTGCCTGCAGAAGGAAGGAAGGAAGGAAGGAAGTCAGGGTGGGTTGGGTCCACTTGCCGAAGGAGCCCACTCTTTCTCCTTCTGGCCCAGCTAGAAATCAGGCAACTCTCTGCATAGTTAAAAGCAGTGTTTTCCAGCCTGGCAACCTCTAGATCAGCATTTCTCAAACTTGGCAACTTTAAGATGTGTGGACTTCAACTCCCAGAATTTCCCAGCCAGCATGTCTGGTCCTGAGAAGTCCAGGAGTGGAATTGCAATTTTAAAAAAAATACAAGGGAAATAATGGAGGAAAAAAGGGGAAATTAAAAATGGGAGTTGAAGCCCACACATCTGGAAGTTGCCTAGGTTGGGAAACGTTGCTTTAAAGCAGTGTCTTTCGAACTTGGTAATTTTAAGATGTGTGGACTTCAACTCCCAGAATTCCCCAGCCAGCATGGCTGGCT